ATATCTATATCTATATCTATATCTGTTTTTAAATCTATATCTATATCTATATCTATATCTATATCTATATCTATATCTATATCTTTATCTATATCTATATCTATATCTATATCTGTTTTTAAATCTATATGTATATCTATATCTCGTCATATATAGATATATACAGAGAGAAAGAGAAAGAAAGAAAAAAAAAAAAATGCTATAAGCTTGCTTTCTTTTTTTGTTAGCCGTGTCGTCCCGTGTTGCATCCGTTAGGATAAGCGGCTATGCGGCTAGCCGAGGGGCCTCAACCTCGATGCTCTAACCATATGCAAAAAGTATCCCCCACAGGCGCTTTGGATGATCCCCCAATCCTGGGCACTCCACTCGCAGCACACGAAGTCGTTGCTGCGCACCTTCACGTCATCTCGGCGCAGCACCGCACTTTCCTCGAGCATCTCGAGCACCACTCTGCGCGACCTCCGGGTCGCTTGGTTGTTATTGCTTTACTGCGCAAGACCCCGTACACAATACATCCTCCGTGCCGTCCCGCCAGGCCGTGTCGCAGTGTGCTGCACTGCTTGGCTCTGCACGCCTGTGTCCTGCGTAGCGGCAAATTGCGAATCGCATACTGCGCCGTTGGGTCGTGCAGTAAGAAAGTAGGAGCAAAGGGACCTAGCAGTCTTGCAGGGCAGGGACAGTGTCCAACAGGCTTGCCTGGCGGGCCAGCACCATGAGCCTCCTGGAACTCCGGTGTGCCTACCGGGACGCTGAGGGCAAGTAGACCACGCTCCGCCGCAGGCTATGCGTTGTCGCCGACCCAGATCGGGGAGTCGGGGGCGAGGGCGGGCACACCATGTGGCAGCAGGCCGGCGCAGTTCCACACCTTCGTTCTCGCCAGTGAGGGCCTGACGGGCAGCGGACAACTCACCCGCATGCGCCGAATGAGGCGGAGCACCCAGCGAAGTGCACGGCGCAGCTGGGGTTTGCAACAAGCGGGCGGGGTGCGGAACACATGGCAAGGCTGCAAAAAAACGTTTTCGAGCGAGAAGGGGTCCAGACTAGCCAAAGCCGCCTGCAGCTGCTGGCCTTGCAACGTGTCAAACTCTCCGTGCACTTGGCGGGCAGCAGGCCCCTTGCCAGACGCCGAGAAACTACTGGAGCTGCTGCTGGCATTGGCCATACGATTCTCGGCGTGCGGAGATGTTGGTGGCCGAGGGGCGGGCGGGCCGGGCTGGGTCAGGGCGACGACAACTCGCAGAAGCGAGGAAGCCTCCCGTTCGCCCATGAACACGTGCAACAATGCTTCCTGAACCGTGGCAGGTATGTATCCGTCGGGCAGTACATTGTGGGGTCGCGCGTTGGACTTTGCTGCCAAAGCCAGCAACATTCGTGCCTCAACCACGGGAAGGGCCGGCCCCTCTTCAGTAGCAAGCTGCTGCAGGGTGTGCCACGCGTGCACCGGCGCGGCCGGCTCGACAGGGGGGAGCCTGGCGCAAGGTGTGGAGGGCACGCTGCCATATTGGGGGGTAGTCGGGGTGCGAGCGTCGGGGTGCAGGCGGCCGACGGCGGCATGCAGCAAGGGAACGAACATCCAGATGTGCGTCTGCCTTAACCGCAAGTGCATTTGGGGGGGTTCATTGCACCAAGTACCAAGCCGCGGCGCTGCAGGCGCGGCTGGTGGACGGGTATCGGGTGGCGTGACCGGTGCAAACGCTCCGGGAGATGAACCCGCTGGCCGGGGCACGGAAGGACTTCCGGGGCAGATCGCCGCAACAAACCCAACCACGGCTGTGCTCGCAGGGTGCGACACGGCCAACCGCTCTTGGGCTTGCAACCACGAATGCCAAAAACATATTCATGATCCTACGCACCACAAAGCGCTAAATGTGTGTAGCGCCTCAGGCGTGCGACCAACCATAACATCATAGCAATCATCATCCCACGGATCCGGTTGAGGACGCCGCCCCAACGGCTTCGGCGCCGGACTTGGGGCAGATTGCCAGAGTATGGACACCAGCTCACTGTACAATACATCAAATATGGAACGGCGCAAGAGCGCGCTTCGGGGTAGTATAGCGTTGGCGGGAGACTATGTGCCAAGGAGGATAAGCGGCCGGGAATACCCGCTCAGCCAAGCCGAGACCTCCAAGGCCAGGCGGCAGAAAAGCGACCTCGCGAGCGGTTTCCGAGGCAGCGGCCTCAAAAACATTGGACAACGGCCCGGATTGCATCGTTGATCTGACATTCCTCTGATAATGTGGGGGGAGGACATTTCTACTTATTTTTCCCGCGCACCTTTTTTTTGGCGTCCGCGAAAAAATGGTCCTCTGGTCCCCGTGCGACTGCACACGAGGGGCCAAAGAGGCTCGTGCTCGGAAGGACTGCGTCGTGCAGCACAGCCTGCAACGGCGGAAGCTGGGCACCAGTTCACCAGGCAGCACCACCAGCGGCGCAGTCGGCCCTGAATTGCAGCAGGCGCAGGGCGACAGGATGTGGCAGGAGCGCGCGGAGCTCGGAGTCGCACAAGCTGTGTGACAAGGCGGAGCGACTCGGCGTTCCAGGGCCCGCCAGCCGAAGGCCGCGCGTTTGCACCCTTTCTGCGGCAGCGATGGCGGCCCCATCGCGAGTGGCAGCACAATGCTCGCGTGTCCGAGCCGACACGAATGAGATGTCACAACAGAACGCTTCACCGAGCGGGGTAGCCGCCCCGTTCGTCGAAGCGGCGATCGGCTGGGTCGACGCCACGGGGCGTACGTGCCAGCCCCACTGTCGTGGGACGATCTGCATGCCCTTGGGTCCGACAGCCAGCCGCAACCGTGCCCGTGTACACCACATCTCTTTGGAGCCACCCACCGGCAGAGGCAACACCACAGGGCTAGCATGCGGCGGAGCCAGCCTCGATGGGGATGGAGCTGTGGGGGCGGCGAGCACGCAGCACAACGACCCAGTAAACGGCAGGGCGGTATGTCCGGTGCATTGCCAGCCCTCTCAACGAGCCGGCAGCGAGGGGAGCCGGCATGCTGCTGCGACCTCGATGCTCGTCATCCTGATCGCCCAGCAGCGTGAGCAGGCATCGCCAGACAGCATTCCTCGAGCAAACGCATGTTGGTGTGCCCGGGCGCCAGCGTGAGCGAGTCGTCGGAGCAGTGCCAACGATTGCCAATGCTTGCCACATCGCAATTGGACCAGCACAGCATTTCTGAAGCAAAATTGAACACCTTGTTTGAATAAATCGACAATTATCCGAAACGTTCACTTCCGTACTCTCCAGCGCAATGTTTCGGCAGGCGTGTAAGTATGCTCTTCAATGTTCAGCACGAAGGAAGCCAAGGACTACTCGCGGTACGTCTACTCGATGTTTGCTGCTGTCGCGCCGGCTAAAAGCCAGCAACAGAGACTTCCTGCGGTTCCTTCGTGAGGTGCACAGAACAGCACCGCCGGCCTTGCCGGCTTAAAGTGTGCAGAGTCAGTCGAACGGGGTCTAGGTGCGGGGGACTCCCACCAACGTCCAGTGCTGTGCAGACACACACACACACACACACCCACACAATACCACTATTTCAAAATGCTCCGAGGCTCTGGACTTCCGGAGCAGACCCTGGCACCGGAAATAACCGCCCCTTTGACATCAAGCTGCTGATGTTCTGACAAGAAGCGCTGAAATATTTCAACATGTTACCGCCCTCCATATTTCAAGCGAAAATGGGTGGTAATCAAGTAGGGGGGAATGGGTTGCGGGAGTTGCAGGTGGGGCTCTACATTACAGTGACCCGGTAGTGGTCTTTCTGCCTAGCGGGGGGGGTGGGCATGCCCGTCCCGCTTGGCTTGGGCCGCTCCGTGGGGACACAGGCACATGTCACTTTGAATGATAAATAAAGACAGGTGGCTAAAAGGTAAACTAAAAGTGAAGGAGAAAGGTGAAGAACAGGTAGCAAAAAAAGTAAGAAAAGTGAAATAAAGCCGGCACAAGGTGAAACAAGAAGGTCAAGAACATGCGGATGTGAACTCCGTCCGACGACCTTTCTGACCTTCTGATGGTGCCGTGCCAGAGCATGCAAGCTTTGCCACTGCTTCCGGATCTCACTTCTAGGTGGGTCCACGTACAAACTTTTGGAGGCCTCCCGCTCCCTGACTTGTATGGCCTTTCATCTTCTGCCTGAAGTGCGTCCGCGAAATAGTGTACACGAAATCGTCGCGGTGTTTGCAGCGGTAGGCCGTGACGAGTCTGACGAAGGTCAGTGTGGGTCAACGAGCGACCTATCAGTCAGAAACAAGCAATAGCGAACATGTTGAAACCAGTAACTGTCCTAATCCGACAGTGCATTTGTCAAACCCACTGTTTTGGCGCTCTTTCCCGCGGCGATTCAACGACAACTGGAGATAAGTGGAGAGAGATCGCAGATAATGACACCAGACCCTTCTGGCACGGGCCAGTAAGGCAGGCGAACTTAAACAATCTGTTTACATGTCCCATTCACAAAAGCCCGTATTTGGCACTGTCAACAGGAAGGTGCACTAGCAGATGGCAGCGTCTCAGCACAGCTTGTGTGTGCGCTCGTCGTAGGTGCTGGGGAAGAGATGAGCCACACGCAAGGTCATCTGGCAAAGGAGACAGGCTCTACGAGGCCGAGACAGGCCCTACGAGTCCCCGGCAACACATCAAACATTCTGCGCCTCGCTGTGAGGCATCGTCGGCAGCCTGCGCGACACCTGGAGGCCGAAGCACGGCAAAAAAAACTTCCCCCACAAGTTCCAAAAATTAGCAAAGAACGCCCCAAAAAAGGCCGAAGCCTGTTCCCAAAAGCATCGCTGCCGCGGATCCATCCTGGCGACGTTGCAGAAGTCGCTGGTCAAGCCGGATGCGTACCAAAGGTGATATGCTGTGATTTCCTGTGCACCCAACCACGAAAGCAAGCGAGAAGGAACGCCACCCGTACAAGCACACATGTGTGTTGGTCGGGGCATGTACGACGTACGAGTCAGCACTTGTTCAGGAAACTTGCCCCAACTCCCCAGCACGACGCTCAAGGTCGGACCGTGAGTGGTGCATCAATCTGCGTCGGGGAAGGCAGCCACAAGAACAGCCAATGAAGCGAGGCACAGACCAAGCCAGCAACGGACCAGGGTGCAGCTGGTTGAAGCTGCCGAACTAGATACTCGAAATTACTGGAAGAACAGTATGCGATGGTTGTTCAAATTACAGGTAGCAGTGCTGCCAATGAGGACCTAGTTCACAGCTACCGCTTTGAGCAGCTGCAGCCCGTTGGCGATCAGCTGTGAACTAAGGCACCACTTTGAGTTGGGATCTGCACCCGGTGCCTATCCATCACGATGTCTCCGTACTTGTGGCACTCGTATCCGTCATTAGATTCTCACTCTATTCGCATGGCACACAAACACGGCAACAGTCGGAGATGTTAAACGGCACCTGCTCCAAACTTCTTCTGGAGTCAGCTTGTATTGCTGCAAGACGTTTCGAAACCTGGCATCCATAGTGAAGGCAGCATGAAGCTGCGAACTGCAATGACAAGTCAATGCCACTCCGTGTTGAAGACCCGGCGTCCGTCTGGCGAACCTCGGTCATCAACGGCATGTATACAGCGGCTCAGAGAAGACGAGCCATCACCTTCTGGATACAGTTGTCGGAAATCCATCCTGCCATCTGCTCGCAGGTGAAGCAGGCAGAAGTAAGCAAGAGTGTCAGGCCTCTCACACGGCCAGTAATCGAAACCATGCAGAGACTGATCGACGGCCACGAAGTGCCCCACCTTGCTCTTGTCGTCTACAAGTATCTGCCAGCAGTGCATTCTTCGGAGGCTCCTCGCTATCTTCCTGTGGTTTCTCTGCTCGTGCCATCTCGTGTCCACACACAAATGCGGGACTTGACTCCTCCCTTCCTTCTACCTAACATGGTATCAGCTCACATGGCAAGACATCTGGGAAGGCAGCCAGCGGCCAGCACTGGCGTAGCTTCAGCAGAGAAGACCTCGAAGCTTGCAGTTCAGCTGCATGTGTGTTTGTCAAGGACTGCTTGTGCCAGACTACCCGGCTGTGCTTGCCGCTGGCCGAATTCGTCGGCCGGGCTTAAGGTAGAAATGACTGTTGGCCGCGCTTCCTGGAGGTCTTTCATAGAGACACCCGGCAGTGTTGGTCAACCCCGCAAATCTCAAGTCGCGATGCTGAGCGGGCAGTAATTTCACGGCAAACAACTTGGTCACAGTTGGGCTGCACCACAAACACGTGACTTAACGATAGCTTGGGATGCCTCGTGTTTTGAACTGTACAAGATTAACACACCCTCCAATTCCAAAGCTTGGAGTTCAGCAGTTTCGGATCTGGCCACCATGAGCAATGACTCGCACCAAAGTCCCAGCCCAAAGGCCTTAAATTAAGAGCAAAGAGGCCATTCCACTTCACTTTGATTCGACCCAACCAAATGCGGCACGCGGGACGGGCATGGTCATTGAGGTTTCTCAGAACGTGCCGATTGCTGTGCGGCGGAGGTGCCACGGCAGCGCAGTTGGCAAAGAGAGGAATGATTGACACAAGCTGTTGACAGATATCCACTCAGTGCTCAACAGTGGCAGAAGACTGCAGAAAGTTGCGGGCACCTGATTGAGAAGGTGCGGCTTCTACTCTCAAGTCTCACTTGAATTCCGGCTCTGATGTAATGCTGCAGTGGCGCAGAAAAGCGGAGAGCCACGGTCACGAGCCCACGCAGTGCCTAGCTCGAGGTGGAAGACCAGTCCAACGTACAGCACAAAGCATTACACAGCTCGCCTGAAGACCCTCCAGCAAAGCTGCGGTCTCCTTCTGCCACGCGTTGACATCATATTAGGATGTTGCTCAATGCGCATGGCTCCCGCATGCTGTGGTGCGGTGCATACGTTTCGTCATTTACAAAAGGTTCCATGTGCTGGAGGCGTGACTCAGAGTCACAAATGAAAAATATAAACCACCCTTACAGGTGAAAAACCTAGAATCGAAACCGTACTTGGGTCTTTGTTTGGATGTAAGCCAGCGGGTTTAAGATGCACACGGTAAGACGTCTCAGGCGCACACGGCAAAACGGCCATCTAAGGCGCACACAAGGTCCTGTTTGGTAAGCAAAAACCCACATATCCGCACTTCGCGCCGCCAAGCCGGAGGGTCTAGGGTAGGGTGTCGTACGCAGAAACCAACACATTCGCAATACGCGGCACGAAACCGGAGGGTCTAGGGCACAGTAACGTGTTCGCATTTCTCGGCACGGAACCGGAGGGTCTACGGCAGGGTCCATTTGGTGCTCAAGTATTTTACACTCGCCCTTTGTTTTAGCGATCCGGCTTCATCATATATTTTTCCATGCCCGTGAATTGCCGACCCAGGCTCAACACATATGTCTAAAATCATGCAGCCTCCTTGGGATGCCGACTCATCACAGATCTTAAGCACGCACCCTCATTTGGCGAGCCGACCCATCACACATTTTTGGGCGGCCCTATGCAATCTCCATCCACCATCCCATGAAAATAACGATAAAAAGTAAGTTGGCAAAGAGATATCTTGCGCATTGGCAGGAGATCCTCACATCCCTCAACAAGCCGCTCCCACTGTGAGGGCAAAAAAAAGCTATACAATGCGGCCTATGAAGGGCTTCTACTCACCAAAGTTAGAACAGCTCCACATTCCGCCATGCTTGCTGTGCCGAGTCCGGCACTGACACGCCACGCAGTGTCCAGCTCCAGTCAGTTGCCAGTAAAGTGCCAAAACTGCTTCATGCCCGAGCGCACCCCGAACACCTGTGGAACGAAGCCATGCTCCAATCTGTGAGGTCGGGAACAGAAAGAAACGAGGCCGCAGATCTTTCGTCTGGAGGAAAACTGTACAACATTCCTTGACATCCCAAATCAAAGGTTGTGGTCGTGCGCCGGCCCTGCTCTGGGCACGTCCTGGACGGAGCAGCTCGGCACACCCGGGCTCCCACGTGGAGGGGCAGAGAAACGCATAGCTGTGGGATCGAGCATCGTAGGCTTTGAAACTTAATGGGGGGAACAGCAGGCTGACCTCGGGCCGAGCCCTGTTCATCACACATGCACATCTAAAAATATTAAACACGCCCGCTCATGGGGCGATCCCGGCTGATTACAATTCAATATTAAACCCGCTCCCCTCATTTGGCGCCCACCTCATATCTTAAACTTTATCTGTCATCAAATATCTAAAAAGGGTCCCTTCATGTGGCAATCCAGGATGAGCACGTATCTTAAGCACGCCCCTCATCTGGCGATGCAAGAAGCGGAAGAGCAAAGAAGCATAAAAGCAGAGAAGCAGAAGCAAGAACAAGCAGAAAACG